CTCCCCCACACCCGAACTTGAGAGCAGTTAGTCTAACAATAGCACTGTGCCAACAGTTCTACTCTATGAAGCTTCTTCCAAATAACTGGGGACTTGGGGGTATTTTTCAACACATCTTTATAGAAGGTTAGGACCTAGAACAAGCCTCCATGTATAATAAGAAGCAGCTGAACTACGGATCATCTCAAATACAGGTGGTTTTCCCATGCACGTGTGCCTCAGGCTTGGGAGGGAGAAAAGTCTTTTCCTTGTTCTTCATTTCTGCTTCCAGAATTCTCTATTGTTCATTGCTCCAGGTCATATGTCACATGGCAAATGACTGGTCTACCTCCTGTTAGTGGCATCAACCAAATTCTGGCTCATTGTGCTTTTCTTTGGAGAGTTTCTGCTTTCTCTCTTCCTCTCTCCAGTGCCATAACCGCTGATGGCTTCAACATCACCCCATAGTACTCCAACCCTCGGTGGGGCCTACAGCAACTCACCCCCAGCTGTTATCACCACCAGCTGTGCTCACCTCCAGCTGTTCTCACCCAGCTGTTATCACCACCAGCTGTTCTCAACCCAGCTTTTCTCACCTCCAGCTGTGCTCACCTCCAGCTGTTCTCACCCAGCTGTTCTCAACCCAGCTGTTCTCACCCCCAGCTGTGCTCACCTCCAGCTGTTCTCAACCCAGCTTTTCTCACCTCCAGCTGTTCTCAACCCAGCTGTTCTCACCTCCAGCTGTGCTCACCTCCAGCTGTTCTCAACCCAACTTTTCTCACCTCCAGCTGTTCTCAACCCAGCTGTTCTCACCTCCAGCTGTTCTCACCTCCAGCTGTCCTCACCCCCAGCTGTCCTTACCTCCAGCTGTTCTCACCTCCAGCTGTTCTCAACCCAGCTGTTCTCACCTCCAGCTGTTCTCAACCCAGCTGTTCTCACCTCCAGCTGTTCTCATCCCCAGATGTTCTCACCTCCAGCTGTTCTCACCTCAATGGAGCTACAAGTCATGGTGATCCTGTCAAGATATTAGTATTGCCCACAGCTGGACCCTCCCTCAACAGTGACCTTTCAGCCACTTGCTATCTGGACGTGCTTAAGCAAGATATTTAACTTCAGTCTCAAAAAGGTTCACGGGGAAGAAGAAAACATGGGTTGAAACCTCTCTAAGTAAAAAAGAAAAATGATAACCTTAAAAATAAGATTGCAAAAACTACTGGCCTCTTTGAACCGGGCATACTAATTCGGCACAGCCACAAACAGAGATAATGTGATTACCTCTAATTTACACATTGGGGCACATAAGCCCTGAGAGGTTCACTCATCCCTAGTCCTAGAAATAGCACATTGCAAAAGCACGATTCACGACCAGGATGGCCGACTCAAAGTCCATGGTCTTAATTACTGCCCTCACTCAGCACATAAATGCTCAATAAATTACAACTATTATTACTAATTAGCTTGCAGACTCGGGGTTGGCAAACATTTTCTGTACAGAGCCAGGTGGTAAGTATTTTCGGTCTTACAGCCCATATGGTCTCTGTTGAAAGCACTCGGTTCTACCGCCAGAGCATCAGAGCAGCAGTGAGCAGCAAGGGCATGATTAGGTGTGTTCTGTTAACCCTTATTGGCATTCGCGAGCTTCCGTCAGATGTGGACTCTCGGTCATGACTTGTGAACCTCTGCTGCAGGTCAGCATGAATTAACTGATGACAAGTGTAATTCTCTCTGTAACCCACAGGGAAGTTAAATGCGACAGAGGAAAGTAGTGTAACTTTCTGCTGTTCGTTTAAAACATACAACAAACAAACAAAATGCTGAAATCCCACCACTTAGAGGGTTGAGGCAGGATTTTTAAGGACTTTTAGTTTGATTCGAGATCTTTGAGACAACGCCCGAGTTTCCAGGTTAGCTCTGTTAGTTAGTGCCTATGTGTTGAACAATCCAAGTCATGGGAGAGGCTGTCAGATACCCAGGCTTAACTCTAACCTGGAAAGAAGACACCAATCACAACTCCCAAGCACCAACGGAAACCTCTTAGGAGGGTGTATCGGGGGAAGAGGCTGAGGAGCCCATAGGTCTCACATGCAGTGGAGGTCAGCGCTAACCCTCCTGTGCCACATTTGAAACTAGAAATTGCCTTCACTAGGAGCTCCGTCCTGCATGGACCATGGTTTCTACCCAACCGCCCACATCAGACAGAAGCTTGCTGATAACTCTTCAATTGCTCTCTTGACCTGGCTGCTTCTTTCTGTTCTTGACTTCTTCCCCTCCTGGAAGGTCCAGGTTGCCTCCACACAGAAGTAAAAGCCAGTGTTGCAGATAACAAGCTCTGCCTCTTTAGAGAAACCTCAGGCTGGAGGCAACACTGTGTCTAAAATTCTAACCAGAGATTAACCAGAAGGTAACCTTTCTGACCCTTTTGGTCATAACAGCATCAGTGTTCGGTGAAAGCCTTGGAACTCATGACCTCACAGAGGTGGGAGATGGTCCTTCTGTGTCAGCCCAGGTTCTGCTGGGACAGAAGGAACCGATGGGCACTGAGCACTTGAGACGGGGTCAGAGTGGGGATCTCAGTGTGAGAGAAGGAAATCAAGAGGCCATCTGATGGTAGGGTACTCTCCACCCACAGGAAAATCTTGGCCAGGGTCAACTCCAGCAGTGGGCAGTGTCCGCCCTACACACCGTGTGACCCTTCCCTTGAAAAGCCAGAAACATCAACAGCGGACCAGAGTTGGTTTCTCATTTTTGAGAAAGAATACACAAGAAACACTTAAGACAACTGTCTTGTATCCTGTCAATACATTGTATCCTGAACCAAATGGTGAGCCTCTGCCTCTACTTCCTCCTCTATTCCAACCCCATCTGGTCTCGCTCTTCTTCTTCTAGAGAAGGTTTTTACTCTTTCAGGTTTTGGAAAAGGAAACCATGAAAGCCTAGGGAAGTAAAGGTTTGCACACCACGCTAGCTACCACTTAAAGGAGGTAGAATAGCCTTGGCATAGAGAGGTCCCTGATGTTTGTTAAACAGTGGGGGGGCACTTTAAAAGTGTGATTTCCACAGCTTGTGCCTCTACATGTCCCCAAGGTTTGCCACCTGTCCTGCTACACCCTCAGAGCAGGGATGCTGGCAAGCTTTCTGTGCATGGAGAAGAGACTCTCTCACCATCAGAGAGGCTGCACTGTTCACTCTGAGGTTAAAACGCAGACTGTGTTAATGATAGTGGCGATGATGATGGTGGTGGTGATGATGGTAATGATGGTGATGATGATGGCATACTACATAGAACAGCTATTCCAATGACCACAGAAGAGATTTGTGGAAACCGGATCGTGGCGATCACTATGACAAACAGGAACATCAGGCAGATCATGTGAGTCTAAAAAGCTCTCCCAGGAAAAGCAGAGGGCCAGAGCCCAGGTTGCCTCAGTTGTAGGAGACAAAGTCTACCTTTCATGTTTATGGAATGAATTGGTAGTTTCTGTTTTAAAAGAAAAGTACAGCGGCAACGTAAGCTGGAAGTTTGTTGCCTACTACCTCAACCACAGAGCCATGGAATGCAGCCGCAGCAAACAACGGCACAATGACATTAGTGGATAGGGCACGTGCCAAGCACTGCCCAGGTGCATGATGTCAAACCTGGCCGCCATTACGGGCGGGACTCCCCGGGACCAGATGCGGGACCAAACAAGCAAAGTGACTCTCGTAGCCTAGCTTAACCCTGTTGCCATTTCCAGCAAAATCCAAACCATAGAAGTCCCTCCTTGTGTCCGTTCTTCTTAGCTGTGACCTAGAGTCTTGACGTGACTTGTCCCTCATCAGTACTCAGCACTTGTCAGGCTTTGCATTTCAACCTTTAAATATCTCTCCTTGCCATGCCCTTCACTGGACTAAAAAAACCCGCCAATATCACTTCTCTGAGTGAACCCTAGACATCCTGTGTCGGTACTCAGGCATCTGTACGGGCCTGTCCTTGGGGTTCGGACAGGATACGTCCGCAGCTGCAGCCACTAAGAGCTCTGCCTGTGCACAGTCACTACGGTCCCTTTTTAAAAGGGCCCTGCCCACCTCCCATCTTCTCTCTTTCTCTCCCTTCCTCTCTTTGTCTGTTCCCCTTTCTCCTCTCTCCTCCTCTTTCTTTTCTTCTCTCTCCTGCTGCTCCCGTCTCCAGAGGTCGGTCTCCCCCTCTCCCTTTCCCAAACAAAACAAGCAGACAAGCAAAAAAAAACCCTCTGCTTGAACCCTGTCTCATGAGTCTTTCGAGTGCCGCTTTTATTGAATTACACCTTCTGTGAAGCACCCTGGCATGTGTAAAAACTCGGCCACATTTCCCTTCCAGAGGAAGTCTGAGCCAGGCTAATGCATCATAAAGGGGTTAACAGAAGGCCAGGTCTTCCTAATGTATTCAAAAAACCCACTGTTACAAGAATGTCTTCCCAATGAAATGTGAACAACAGTACCACCATCTTGGGTTCTGAGAAGGAAGAAAGCCTGTGTAAAGATGCTGGTGTCAGTCAGACCCCACCAGGGAGAGGAGAAACTCAGCCACAAGAGCAACTGACTGTCCGTTACACGTTTTCAAGTGCTGGGAATGAGGAGGAAGATGGAGCAGGAAGGAGGTATTCCTTTGCCATTTCAGGCTGTTTTGAAATTAATTATACTAAATGATACATTTTAATTAAGATCTTACTTTTTTGTTACACCCTAAAGTCATTTTGGAGAGAGGACAAATCCGGCATTTCTAAAACACAAGGGGTTAGGAGGAATGCGTCCTAATAATGAGACACAGCTTGGGTGGTACTGCAAGCATCCACTTAAGTAACAACCAATCAGTGGGAGATGGGATCCCCCACCCCCCAGATCACCGGCTTGTGCTATCAATGGAGTGGATAAAACCTGTCCTTCCAGCTCAGGAGTTATCTGATAGTATTCTCCCAATGGCGAAGAGTAAGCCGATGCTGAGAGGCTGCAGAGTGAAAGTGAGCAGGGACATTGCAGAACCCTGGCAGCCACTGGGCTCTTACCTTCAAAGAACTGCTGTAGGGCCTCGTTCTCATCTAGCACGTCCATGCTTTGCCCTCCTCAAACGAGGGCTGTCAGGCCTCAGGAAGTAAGTGCTGTCTGCGGGGCCTCGAAGCCTATGAGTACTCCTGGGAAATCGCCATGCCCTTTTCACAGATGTGAAGCATCTGCTCAGCCATCAACCTGAGCCTGTAGAGACGGCTAAGTTCTCAAATGGGATTGGACGACAAAAGGGTGTGCGACCACACGAGAAGAAAAGAATTACCAAGACCAAGAGGGAAGTAGTGACAGATCCATCTCTCTTAGTTCAGGAACTGTTTCTACTTTGCCTCTGGTCTTTGTTTTAAGGACCTTTGTCCTTAGTGACACATGTAATTACATAAATGGGCAATAAATGCCCAGCCTTATCTCTTATGTGTCCTGTACACACGGTTTCTATCTTCACCTTCATCAAGCAGATCCATTTAGCCACCAAGGAAAGATACAGTTGCGTTCTTAAACCCCAGAAAGGACACATATCAATATAGTCATTTTCATCGGTGACAAAAAAGGCTTGGTTACTGCAAAGACTTTGTGAGAATAAAAATAATTTGTTCCATATTTTCAAATGCAGGGTGGGAAATTGCATTCCTCAGTACAGTCTACTTCTTGAAAAGGAATCCCTATTTTTAAAGGTATAGACTGAGTATGGAAGTCCCTTTATGCTGCACACACAGAGCCTTATTTACTTGTCTTTGATTTCCCGTAGCAAGTTCAGCTTCACCCAAGTCAACTGGGGGGAGGGGGGATGAATTCAACAGTCCTGCTCCATCTATCAGGGTTTTGTGATAGAATGCATACGCACATCACTGGCTGGCCGTGGGCTTGGCTTCCTCGCATGGGTACATCTTCCACGCATGTTTTAATGACAAATAAGCACCTATAACCCTGCTGCCCAAGGCAGGAGCTAACACCCTGACAAACACTTGTGCAGACATTTGTTTCTCCCCCAGCTCTCCGACACCCACAGGTGACATTCTCCTGATCCATATTACTACTGATGGTCTAAATTTAGCTACGCATGTGCATGCGTACACACACACGTACACACACACACACATATACTCACACACACACTCATACACTCACACACTCATACACTCACACACTCACACACACACATTCACACACTCATACACTCACACACACTCATACACTCACACTCACACACTCATACACTCACACTCATACATTTACACACACTCATACACTCACACACTCACACACACACTCACACTCATACATTCACACACATACATTCACACACACTCATACACACACGTACACACACACACACATATACTCATACACTCACACACACACACTCACACACACACTCACACACACACTATACACTCACACACTCACACACACACACACTCACACACACACTATACACTCACACACTCACACACACACACACACACACACACACCCTACACAGCTGGCCTTCCTGAGAAAACACATGTTGGTACCATGCAACACTCCATTATGTGAACATATATCTCCCTATAGACACTTCTGATTTTTTTTTCTAGAACATTCTTATGTATATATTCTGGGATATGCCATGCAAGTATTTCTCTTGAGCAAACACCTAAAAGTGGAATTGCCAAAGGCATATTTGCTCTCATTTATAATCTGAGTACCTGGGAGGCAACGGCAGGAGAATTGCCAGGAGTTCAAACCAGCCTGGGCTATACAGTGAGTCAGTCCCAGGCTAACCTGGGCTACATAGTGAGACACTGTCTCAAAAAAAAAAAAAAAAGACAGTGAAATTACTTGTTCACAAATACACAAATGCTCGACTTTCTAACCTTTACATTTATTGTCATGTATTAATCGTAAAAAACTGGGTTTCGTTATGACATCTCTATGTACATGTTCTATTTTCCCACTCGGTTCACATGAGCGCCCCCCCACTCACCCCAAATAGATCTTTTCTTCTTTTTAATATCAACTCCGTGCAGGAGAGAAAACATGCCACGTTTCTTTTTCTAAAATAATGTATTCTCGGCTGGAGAGATGGCTTGGCAGTTAAGAGCACTGGATGCTCTTCCAGAGGACCCAGGTTCAATTCCCAGCACCCACATGGCGGCTGAACTGTCTGTGACTCCAGTTTGGGGAACCCGACACTCACACAGACACACATGCAGGCAAAACACCAGTACACATGAAGTAAAAATAAATAAACTTTAAAATGACTTATTTCGTTTCAAATATTTAACTTCCAAATGAATGACTTCACAATGGCTACAAATCAGTTGACACATACTGACTGAAATCTTCAAAAGTGGATTTTACTGGGTTTCTTCATTTTTGCCACTGTGGTCTTGTTTCTCTGGTCCAGAATAAAGCCTTTTTTTAGTGTTTATTGTCATTTATGTGCTTCTAACTTCAGGGAAAAAAATAACCTTAGTCTTCTGACCATTTTTCTGTTAGGTTGTCTGTCCAGATGTTGTAGAACCTAGGGCCTTCAACAACCTGTGCACTCCCTACTGCTCAGCTACATCTCTATATTAGTTACTACAAAACACTATCACAAAAGGCAGTCGAAAGAGTTTATTTTGGCTCACAGTTTCAGAGGGATCAGAGTCCACCATGGAACAGACGCGTGTCAGCAAGCAGTATGTAGCTAAGCACTCACAGAGAATAAACTTGGAATTTGGAGGAGGGGTGATATCCCTCAAAGCCCGCCCCTAGTGATTCCCTCCTGCAGAACCACACTCTAATCCTCCCCCACACTTCAAACCCCCAGCCTCAGCATCCTGTGTAATTAATTACAGGCATGAACCACTAGTCTCAACTCGCTAGACGTTCATGATGCCGGCCAACGCTGTCTCATAGCTTGCAGTTGGGCTTTAATCTTTTTGGTGGATTTGTAACACAGGCAATTGTATTTTATACTCATCTTTTATGACTTCTCTCTCCTCCAAACTTAAATTCTGAGAGATTTACGTGTATTTTGAAACACTCTTTGCCTGTATTTTCTGTATCAGAAACACTAAAGTTCAAGACACTTAAGTAAGTGTGTGTTGAGGAAGATTTAATTTATCTCCTGTCCCCTTTTTTGGGTTGGTCTCATTTCATGGACACTTCAACCATTCACCTAGAGCATCAGTTCTCAACCTCTGGGTTGTAATCTCCTTGGCGTCACATATCAGATACCCTGCATGTCGGATATTTACATTACCGTTCATAACGGTAGCAAAGTTACAGTTATGAAGAAGAAAGGAAAATACATTTTAGGGTTTGGGGTCAGCACAACATGAGGAACTGTATTAAAGGGTCGCAGGATTAGGAAGGTTTTGGACCACTGATCTATTGTGTGCCTGCTGTGCCGATGTGAACACAATATATGTGTACAAGCACGTATGCAAGTCAGCTATAGAGCTGTGAACTGGCTGCTTTGTCTGCCCCTGCACTAGCACACTAATACTCAGCCTCAGAAGTAGGGTCCGAAGACTTTTCTTTTCCGTCTGTGCCCTGACACTAGTTTATCTTTAACTCAGCTGCAACCAGTCTGTCAAATCCAGGAGGAATGCTCCCTTCCTGTCATTTAGCGAGAACTGACAGGTTTTTCTTTTTCCAGCCATGACCATTTCGTCTGCCTTTACGTTTTATCACCTTCTCTATACAAAACTAGCAAACGTTTGAATTTACAAGTACATATTTTAGTAAACTGTGGTGTAGTTAAGGTCTAATCATCTGATGGTGACTTTTTAATTGGGTTTTCTGTGTGTACCACCACATAATCTGCAAAACCTTCTTTAGTTTATCCAAATAATTTTTTTTCTTATCTTTCTGTGTGGTGGTAACACTTCTATATCAGATTTTTTTTAAAAAAATTATTTATTATGTACACATCGTTCCTCCTGCATGTCTGCCTGTAGGCCAGAAGAGGGCAGCAGATCTCATTACAGATGGCTGTGAGCCACCATGTGGGTAATGGGAATTGAACTCAGGACCTCTGGAAGAGCAGCCAGTGTTCTTAACCTCTGAGCCATCTCTCCAGCCCCACTATATCAGATTTTTTTTAATGAGGAAAATTATTACCCTTGTCTTGATTTTGAAGAATTTCAATTATAATTTGTTACGTGTGTGACTGTGTATGGGGTAAGCCCATGAATGCAGGGGCCCACAGAGGCCTGACGAGGAGGATATGAGGTTCCCTGGAGCTAGAATTATAGGCAGCTGTGAGCTACCCAATATGGTTTGTTTGTTTGGAAAATTTTACATATTAGTATTGTATTTACAACCATGTCCACCTCCATAGCTCCTCCCTCCAACTCTTGCACGTTTCCCTGACCCCTCTGAAATTCATGGACTCTTTTCCTTATAGTTAAATACACACATGTATAGATACATAAATACAACCTGTTGAGTCCATTTAATGTTACCTTTATGTTTGGGGCGAATGTCTTGATACTGGAAACCGGTTAGAGAGCTCATCCCTGGGGAAGATCTATTTAATTTAATGTTGCCCTTATGTTTGGGGCGAATGTCTTGATACTGGAAACCGGTTAGAGAGCTCATCCCTGGGGAAGATCTATTTAATTTAATGTTGCCCTTATGTTTGGGGCGAATGTCTTGATACTGGAAACCGGTTAGAGAGCTCATCCCTGGGGAAGATCTATTCTCCCGCTCTCAGTACTCATTAATGTAAACCTCATTCTAGGGGCGGCGCCTTGTGAGATTTCCTCCATTGTGGGTGTTTTTCTCCTCGGCCGTTTGTCTTGCGGGTTATTTTAAAGCTGTTCCTCGTGATCTCCCAACGCTGACTATAGGATTTTTAGGCATCCTTATATCGAAAGCACTCCCCTGTGAAAGGGTATTTCTGATCTCATGGGGTCGCGCGTGACCCACAGGCTGAGAACCACTGCTCTAAAACAATGGCTGTATGATTTCCTCCGGAGCCCAACTCTTTGTATCCTGTCCTGTTATTCAATACTTAAATTTAGACATTTTCTAACGTTTTCACTCAATCTCAATAAATGTATGCTGGCTTTGAACTCGCTATGTAGCTAAGGCTGGCTCTGGACTCTTTATCCTCCTGCCTGCTAACGGGGAAGGGTTCTAGGCATGGCCATTACTTCACCCGGCTCCCTGTTCTGTCTTTGTAGCATTATGTAGCGGTCACAGCCATCTCTAATGCTTGCTTTTGAATTTTAAAGTGAAATTATCAAACTCAATGATGAATGCTATCAGATTATTGTCCTAAACATTTTCCCTTTCTTAGAAAAAAGTGTTAAACCAAAGCCTCTTGGCCCAGCAGTGGCCACATGTGGCCAAGCCTCGGTGCAGGTGGAGACAGTCCGTTTGCTCTACCGTCACTCCCTGGGTCAGCAAAACAGTCATCTGTATGGTCCGCGTCCGCCCCCCCCCCCCAACCCTTCATTTTCCTCCACGTCGTGTTCAGCCTCCCCAAGAACTGGGTATTATGGGATGTCGGTTGTATCGAGATAGTTTCACATAGATGTTCCACTCACCCACTTCTCTGTAATTCCCCGGGGTTCAGTTCCAAACCTGACAGCTGCTACCAAAGACCATCATCCGGTCAAGTTTTTCCTCGAATACAAACCGTTTTCACACGTCTAAGATGTCAGCATCTTCTAGACTTCCTGGAGAACATCCCACGAGGAGCAGCTTCCCCCTGGGTATTCACTGCTATGCCAAGTTTGCTCATCCCTGAGATGGCAGTTAAGGCAGTGTACCGTGGTTTTCCTGCTAATACAGGAGGAGTGAGCGGGGCCGCTTCGGGGATGCCCTGTCTGATCACCTGTCAAGGCCAGGAGCAGCTCGCACTGTCTTAGGACCTTGTCACGTGAGGCAGAGTGGTAGGAAGAAAGTCCAACTCTGTTTTGGGAGACTGGCTGTCCGGAGGGTTGGATCGCTGTACGTTCAAAACCAGGTATCAGGTCTCACGTACGAGTCCTCTTGTATCCCCTAAGAGCCCCAAGGTGCAGCTGCCTGCTGTACAAGGTTAGCATCTGCCTGGGCAGGGGTCAGGATGAGGCCAGAGCCTTGCTGGGCTGTTCCTCATTGTAACATGTCACCATGGTCCTGCCTGCTGCGGTGGTACACTTCCATTTTGTATAAACACTATCGTTCCCACGTCAGCCTGCGTCCTACACTTTGTGAATACCTATGATACATTCCAGTCCAACCTGGCTCCTTTCACACAAGCTGCTGCGTGTATCTTCTTATAGCGTCTTTATTTCCACATCGTATGCTTCTGTTTGGTCATTCTTATTACTGTTTCCACTGTTGATACTGTTACCTCTAGTAAGGTAAGAAATCTAACCAAACTCCCTGCTTCCTGGCCTGTATCTATTGCCACTGTGGATGCTGTTGATGCTGTATTAGTTAGTTCAGGATAGTCGCTGAGACTTGCTGTCCTTACCTTCCTGTAGTTTTTCTCATTACGCTACAAACTAACTTCCCCCATGTATTTGGGGGTTTGGGTTTGTCTTGTGATGTGGGGGATCAAAGCCAGGGCTTTGTGCATGGCAGAGAAGACCCACCAGAGCTACACATGAGGTCCTTTCCATTTCTCCTGAGCTTGTTCTTCTCAAGGACTGGCTCCAAAGGGGTTCTTTGTTTTTTGTGGAAAATCTTCTGAATCCCTGGATGAGCACACTCAATTTGATTATTTGATTCTGAGGGTGGGGGCTCTGTGACTGGTTCAGATCTCTAAGGGGAAATCTTGCCAAGAGAACAAACATGCTTAAACACTGGCACGGACAGGAAGGAAGCCCCACAATGTTCACAGGCGGAAGTATACATACTCGAGGTGACCTATCACAACGTCGTGATAGGCAAAGAACTGAAGATGACCCGATCTGTGGAAACAATTAAACTGTTTAATTACAAGTAACATTCAGTGATTAGGGTGTGGAGATCTGTACCAGAGACAGCTCACTGGGTAAAGGTGTTGCCACCAAGCTTGATGTCCTGAGTTTGTTTGATCACTGGAACCCACACAGGGGAAGGAGACAACAGACTCCCAAAAGCTGTCATCTGAGGTCACATGCACAGGCACGCCCCCACATAAATACATAAACTGTAAAAAACTTTTTAAGGTGTGAGGGTTTTCTCATAGGGGAAATATTTATTTTTAAAGCAAGGAGGGTGGGCCGTGGAGACAGCTCCGGGCTCTGGCAGAGAACCTGAGTTCAGTCCCGAGCACCCACTTGGCAGCTCACAGCTGTCTGCAACTCCAGTTCCAGGTCTGACTCCCTTTTCTGGCCCCTGTGTGCACCAGGCGCACGCGCACGCGCACACACACACACACACACACAGAGGCACGCTCCCACACACACTCAACTGTGTATAGAAAGAAGTAGGAAACGCCTGAATGCCCAAGGTTATTCTCCAAAGCCATGACCAGTGCTGGCCTCACTGCAGACAATGGATTCCTTTGCATTCCTGTACTTTGTCTCTACCACAAATCTCTTTTACTTTTAGCAACTGTTAGTAGTTTCTTCGTGTCAGCTTTACTTAAAACTTAGAGATAAGTGGTTGCCAGACCGACACCTCAGAACTGGCAGATACCATCCTTTTAGACCATGATGCTATTTATTTATTTAATCCTCCTCCAGTTTCATGATAGTGCCCAATGCCTAACATGAGCCCTACGTCGGTCAGGACGCTCAAGAACGCTCCTCTACAGTGAGACCTCGCCGCTCTTCATTTCCTACATGACTGCCACTACAGTTCAGGGACTCACTAGGTTACTGCAAAAAGTGACTTCCAAATCCCAGTAAAAACCTTTCTGCAGAGGAGGAGGAGGAACAGACTGGGGAGGGGGGTAGGGGAAGGAACTGGGAGGACAGGAGGGAGAGAGAGAGGGAGGGAGGGACGGAGGGAGGGAGGGAGGGAGACGGAGGGAGGGAGGGAGGGAGGGAGGGAAAACTGATCAGTCTGGGAAAAAAAGTAATTAAAGAAAAAAACCTCACAGGTGGAAAACAAAACAACACAAAAAACCCAAATCTTTCTGCAAACGGAACCTTGTGTTGGAACGTCAACATACACAGAGGCAGCATCCACTGAGTCCTGTCCACGCAGCCCCTGCCCACAGGGCGCAGCGTTAAGAACTGCCACTGCCCTCTGCAACGCTACATGCCACGCCAGAGCGAAGGAAGAGACACACACTCGGTCTCACGTTTATTTGGTGGTTTTGCTTTGCAGGGCTGGATCGCCATCACTGGTAGAGCTGCAGCTGGCCGGGGTGTGCTCCACTCAGGGAAAAGCAAACACGGCTCGGTGGCTTTACAGGAAATCGCAGGACTTCGTAGTGTATGTGCAAGAGGACACAAGTCTTGGCCCTCTCCTCGGAAATAAATATTAACCATAAAAATGTTCAGCCATTCTTCAGTTGTCCAGGGAGGCGCACGCCAGGCCCCACGCAGGGGGTCAGAGTTCCTCTTTGAAATAACCCAGTTTTGCCAACGACATCTCCTTTCTCAACTGCATAACTTCCCAAAACATCTGATCAACTGCACAGACAGAGAAGAGACATGTAAATCATGTGTAATTACTGCTCAAGCGTCAAGGAAAATGTAACATTAGCTAAAATGCAAAGCTGGTGCTCCCTAATATGGGTTACCCCAGCTCTACCAGCCCTCAAGCCACGGTGTCAGACTTGTCGTGATAAACACGGACAAAAGTAGATATTTCAAGGTCTAGAGTAAATGCCAACTCCATCCCCTCCTTGAGTACATTAAGGCTCAGTTACTTATTCAAAGGTTATGATCCAACCGCTGAGTCTTCGGCACTGGTCTGTCCTCCCTTAGACGTTTCCCAGAAACAGAAAATGCAGTAATGTCCCTTGAAGTGATAAGGGAAGCTTTTTGTATGGCTCAAATTAGAAATAAAAAGGAACACCGAGGTTCAACTATACATTTCCATTATCCACACTTCTTTTAATTCCCAGTCAAAGTGGGAGAGAAGGGGTCTGTGCTTCAAGCAATAAACAGTCTGTGGCCAGCTCACACTGTGGCCAGCTCACACACTCACCAATGGGTTCATCAGACACATTTGGCCCCCAAAGCACATTTGACAATGTCTGAATACCTTTTTCATGGCTGTATGTTAGAGTTCTACTGGCATCTAACAACTACAGGCCAGAGATGTTGTAAAATATGTTATAACACACCCAATACACACACACACACACACACACACACACACACACGATTATCCAAGCTAGCAGTGTCACTATAAGACAGTATCCTTTACCTAAAATGCTTGTAAGAGGAAAAGGTCCATATTTTAATTAAAAAACATAAAACATTTACACAGACACGAGGAGATAACCTTGGGGAAGGGCCCAGCACCTTCAACCCAAAGTTCAAAGGCTTTGTGTGGAGCCTGCTATTGCGGAAGTCTTTAACCCAGCAGAGCCAGGATAGTGAGTTCGAGGCCAGCCTGATCTACAGAGGGAGTTCCAGGACAGCTAGAACTACATAGTGTGACCCTGCCTCAATAAAAAAAAAAAAGGAAAAGGAAAAAGGAAAAAAGTTCCTGTGGATCTTATACACAGTGCCTAAAAGTAGTGTTTCTATTGTGCTTGCATCCTGACTATGGGATTACGTCCATGCTCGATGCAATGCTTATCTTGAGGCATTTGTGTTGGGGTGTTAAGGTGCCCAAACTACTGTAGTACAAAGGCTAAAAAACTATGCCTTGGATTTAACTGACCCTAACCTTTTTTTTTAACACAAAGCTCAGATGATGCTAGGTTTTAAAATAAAACTTTAGCTTCATACAAGGGCCCTGCAGGGTATATTCTGGGTATTAGATACATGAGATGCAAAAATAACAGAATGTCACACCTGACACTCTCATCCAAGACATTTCCTTCCTATTTTCATGAAGTGAATTCTTTTCGTATTTCATAACAAGGAGGAAGTTTGCATCATATTATCCATCAATCGTTATTCAAAAGATGTTTTTACTGAAATTATAAAAGCCATCACACACTTACAGACTCCTTTTGTTTCATAGCCTCTAGCTCCATGCCTCCCATATTTACATGTTAAAATTAATTATGTGCAATTCTAAATAAATATGGCACAGTTCCATGCACCGGAGCCATAAGGGCTGAACTGAGTCTTTGCCAGTCTTGTGTGACAGCAAACAATCAGCTTCTGTAGTCTCGAGGTACAGAAAGGTTTTCACTATCTGTACAAGCTTACATGGAAACTCTCCCACCATGCCCGAGGAGAAAGGTGGGCTTCTTCCTGACCTAGTGTGATCAGTAAGTGTGGGAGGGTGGGCAGTTAAGACACTGGGTTATGGTCCCTTAGCAACCCCAGAAGGCTACACTGAAATGTTAACACAACCGCAACGGCCTGCACTTCTGCTTCTGCTGCTTCAGGAGGAGTCATTTTCCTGTTCAGAATCACCACGTCTGCCTCGCGAAAGCAGAGAACACAGGAAACTCACAGCTGGTCCCTTAAACTTTCGACCAGTGAAAATAATCTGACCACTGGCAGAGCTTGCTCATCTTCCCACACACCAAACCTAGGACCTCACTCATGCTAATCAAGTGCTCTTCCACGGAGCTATACCGTTTATTCTCAAGCTCCTTTGATATTTGAGGCAGGGTGCCACTAACTTGCTTAAGCTGGCCTTGAACTCATCCTGTAGCTCTTACTGGCCTCAACCTGCTCTCCTCCTGTCTCAGCCTCCCAAGCAGCTTTCAAGGGGTAAATGCAGTTAGTGGTTTGATCTATCATACGTCCCTAGCAAGGTAAAGCTGGTCCTGCTCGGCACTCAGGAGTAAAACCGGGGAAGCGAAAACATCATTTTTGGAAGACGCACACTTTGTTAGAACGAACGGTGAGGGATTCACTGAGGCGACAGGAACAACAGTTCACCGCCACACACTACAGTGGTCTGGTACGCTCTCCCGCAAACGCTACGCTCTCACGCAAACGCTACGCTCTCCCGCAAACGCTACGCTCTCCCGCAAACGCTACGCTCTCCCGCAAACGCTACGCTCTCCCGCAAACGCTACGCTCTCCCGCAAACGCTACGCTCTCCCGCAAGTGCTTACAAGGGTTTGAAAGCACTCACCATCCTGTTGTCTCACAAGCCCCTGCTGAATATATCGGATGTACGTAAAAAAGTTGCAAACAGACGTGATCTAGGCCAAAAGGAAGAGCTGTCAGAGCTGGTCAGTTTATGGCAAAGAGAACATTATTAAACACCATGGTCATGTCACTTACCCTGTATCTGCAAAAGGGAGAAATATAGTAATAGTTGCTTGAGTCCCCCAGTTTAATTCTGTGTTTACAGGACTTACTCTGGCCAGTGAGAGCACATTTTCTGCAAAATAACAAAAATGTCAGTTTTGTTTTATAATTAAAAGCCTTTGCCCCCTTTCTCTCTCTCTTTCTCTCTCTCTTTCTTTTAACAAGCTGTCTCCTCATTACCATAGAAAATATCTAAGAACCTAACGTGTCAGGCCTGACCTGGACGCTGGATCACCGAGACAAAAAGGCACAGTCAGTGCCCTGTGGGATTTATGTCCCAGTATAGCCCTATGACCCTAACACTGTGCTCGCTTCTAGAAAGACGCAGACTGCTTCCACACTCGGCCCAGCTGGGAGAAAATCTACACGTGGTCCAGTAGCTGCAGGTCTCCGTACAACATAACAGCTTCCTAGCTGAAGAGAACCTAATCAAGAGCATTCAAGTCTTAACAACCCTTGCTAATGCTGTACAGGGTTGACAGCTGCCAAGAGGAGCCTGTTTGACTGGTAGGCCTTGCTGCATTTAGTGTATAAAGAAGTAAGTTGTCCTTAACACCTGTGTGAGGGGCCCAGCTCATTCCACCCTTCCTACCTGCGGCCGTTCTGCCTGGACTAGGCTATCTACTTCTTGAGGGTAGATACTGTGCTTGCTCATCTTTAGAGCCTGGCAACAAGTCAGATTCACTGACTGCTAACTAAGTGATAGCCACCTGTCACCATGCTGCTCAGTTGTCAACCTAGTCAGCTGGGGCCTTGGGTAGACACAACCACCAGTGTTTGTTAATGAAAAATTAGCGACGCTCTCAGTAAAACAAGGTGGCAATAGCAGCTGACGCGACACTACAAATTATACAACAAAGAAACAATATACCCGAACGATGCTAGATTTCAGGTATACCTAAAATAAACACAACCCAAGCGCTCCTCCACAGAGAAACAAAGTATAAAACATATTATTTAGAACAAAAATTTAGAATTTCAAATCTCTTTGAAAAAAGATTATCTTTTAATTCTTCTCAAGGAGATTATTTTACTTACTTTGGTCCAGCGTGCACAAACACACACAGGCACACACAACACACACCTGCAAACTGTTCTAATGCTCTGTGACAATATTTCAAAGTACTAACGGCTGTAATTTTAAAAAGCAGCTCAAGATAGAAAGACACCATGGAACAGAGTTCAAGCAAAAGGGTTTTTTATTCGGGAAAGGGGAGCAGGGAGACCGGCCTCCAGGGACAGGAACAGTGGGATCAAAGGAGAGAGACAGGGGGGGGGGATGATGGGTGGGGGAGGACAGTCAGACAGCAGACAGACAGAGGGAGAGAAGGAGAGAGGGATGCAAGGTGGACAGGGCCCTTTTGAAAGGGAACGTAGTGAATGTGCACAGGTGCTCTTAGTGGCTGAAGCTGAGGGCGCATCCTGTCAGAACCCCACGGGCAGGCCAGTGCAGATGTCTGGATACTAACACTAACTACTGGATTGGGAAAGATCAGAGGTCAGTAAACTTAAGTTGGAAGTCCTTGTAATTTGCAAAAAGTATAATTTATTCAGAAAGAAAAGTACCCTTGAAGAAAAGAAAGGAAGGAACCCAACTTATTCTTCTGAAAATATATTTGTTCTTTAACATCTTGTCACATTTTGAAAGGATTTTGCTAAAGTGGTCTCAGGTATTAATTTTTAGAATAAAATTAAAAAATCCCCTTCAAAGAGAGGACCAAGCTCTGGCTTGCAGAGTGCGCCCCCTTCTGCTCTGTGGAGGGTCTTTCTCTGTATGTGCTGCATGCATGTGTGTCTTCGCTCCTAATAAAAGTTCTTCTTCAACTGCCTTTAAAAGCAGCATTTCTTAAATGGCCATTTCTAAACGCTAACAGGGTCAGTTAATCAATGCACTTCTGATTCTGGACTCAATGCTGGTCTGGTCTCTTGAAGCTGCCATAGAACACGCTGCTGCTGCTGCTGCTGCTGCTGTACCTCTTCAAGGATGTAGCCTGCCTTGTCACACCGGGATGACTGCACATAGACCCAGGCCCGTAGCGTCTTTCAAGCCAGAACCTTCTCTACTCGTTTCCACGATACTCCAACCCTCATCAAGCTGGCGGTCTCTAATTCTTTCTTCTTGCACCCCTCACCCATCTATCACACCGTTTTTCTCCTCCCTATCTTACCTGTCCTCTGAACATACTGTTTTCCTGTCCAATTTATCCACTTCCTCCCACACCCCAACGCTACCAAATCTTTCCACCTCTTATCAGGGAGTAGTATGACACACCTGTAATCCCAGTCTCTGGAGGCAGAGGCAGGCACATCTCTGAGTTCAAAGTCAAGCTAGTCTACAGAGGGAGTTCCAGGACAGCCAGAGCTACACAGTGAGACCCCCATCTCAAAAAACAAAAAAATCAACAACAACAACACACACACACACACACAAACACAAATACACACACCAAATCTGTCCTCTCCCAGAGGAGTTCCTAATCACTAGAGTGGTTGTGTCTTACAGCACTGAGTCATTTGTTTAATCACCATGTTTGAAACCTGGTCCCCACAGTTTGTTTAAAGGTCCAATATGTGAGCCAGCAAGATGGCTGACTGCTGCAGAGTGTGACAGTCTGAGCTCCACCCCTGGAACCCAACAGGAGGAGAGAAACCAGCTCCCACAAGGCATACTGACCTCACACGCACACTAAAGAAAGTAAAGCACAGTAATAAAGGGAAGACAAACGTCTCCCTTCAGTTTTACACAGAATGTGTGTGTATACACCTGAAATGCCTTTCCTGACCTCACAGCGTAAGCACAGCGTGCAAACTGCTCTCTAAATCTAACCTATCTAATTCCTTTCCTAAAACCCTGTATGTCCGCATCACCGTCTGGCATCATCTGGAGTACACTTCATATGTGTACCATGTGTGACATAATGTACGTCCGCATCACCGTCTGGCATCATCTGGAGTACACTTCATATGTGTACCATGTGTGAGATAATGCAGGGGTAGACAAATGCGACAGTAAAAACTGCCAGGTATCACACTGACAATACGGTATGACCCAGACCTTCAAAGTGTGGACTCTGCTATCACTGCATCTGGTTTTCCATTTGAGAGGCTGCAGGGCCAAAAGGGAAATACGTTGGTGTTTGTAGAATTTAATACTATAAATTCCCCTGAAATTCAGAGGCCACTGTGCTACAGGTTGTCACAGCACTAGTTTAACACAGACTACAACTCTGAGTTCATAGATGTGCGGCTCACAAAACACACACACCGTGCACACACTCTGCAGGCATCCTAAGGAGTGTGTGCACCAACAAAACAGTTACAACTTCAACAGTCCTGCACAGACAACAGCTGCAATCGGGCCCACGGCTGCCCTGAGCTCTCCGGCTCCCTCCCGGCCCCCGCTAATGTGGTCTTCAGAACGGAAGCTGAGGCACCGTTACATGCTGGTTTGGGGCAGAACACTTCTCAGAGGTTTTAGGCCTTCTTCCCAGAGGACTGGCTGGGGAAGCCTGCCCGCTGGGAAATACACCAGTCCTCCCATTGACCCCCATTTATAATTTCCAAAGACCTCCCGAATGTGGAAGACAGACTATTTGCCAATTTTGGAATCTTTTACAGAAGAACTATGGGAGGTGGGGGTTAATTATTTCTGTGGTTGTGGTTTTTAATTATGAATATGCATCCAGGTCTGTGCTCACATAAGTGCTGGGGTCCATGAAGGTCAGAGGGTCTGGGTCTGAGTTACAGGTATCTGTGAGCTCCCTGATGTGGGTGTTTGCACTGAACTGGAGTTCTCTCAAGAGCACCAAGTACTGCATCAGGGCCATCAATCCAGGTACTGTTTCCCTTGTGGAAAGACCAGCTCTAAGTCAGTACCGCCCCAAAGTAAAATGGGCCAACACTTTCTATCCCTAGTCTACCCACACCCCTACCTTGTACGTGTATGCCATAACTGAAAGGGTGCTAACTCTCTGGAGAAGCCGCCATCCATCTCTTGCCTGAGGCCTGCGCCAGTGGCCTTCCCTCGGGTATTTCCCACCCTACCTTTCTTCACTAAAGAGACCACAACTCTGTCTGGGGGAAACTAAGCTTGACTTTGAAAAGCACCAATACCACCTGGGATTTATTTGTCTTTGGGCCACAGATGCGGAGAAGAAACTGAGGAGGAGAAACGTCATCACATTTACAACACACACATGAATAAACACAATAGCACAACACAGAAACTTTCCAGAACTCACTCTCCCACGAGGCACGGGTGTAAAAACCTACTTTGGCCCTCCGCATTCTACAGCTGAGGCTTTCACGAATCGAATGGGCTGCAGCCCCACGGGCTCGATGCTTAGAGTGTTGTTCTCCACCGCCTCCAGGACAGCTGAAGCCAACTTAAAAACAACAAAAGAATTAAATCAGGCTGGCAGGGAAACTCAAGTAAGACAGGAAGTTAATTTTATAAGCTAGCCCTCCTTCAATGCCATACACTTGGCCTTAGCCACTTCAAAGAGAAGGGGACAAAAGTTCAAGTCACAATCTCCATTTAATTTCTTTCATAATTCGAGCAGTTATGGGAGGCAACTAAGTTGCAGTGGAAGAATTTTTTTGTATTAACCGGAAGAGGATTAAAGTATTAATTCCAGTCTCAACCCATTCCTCACCCACGACTACACATCCACTACAAAAGCCATTTCAAAATTAACATCCTAATGCTACATCCTGCTTAACTTATGCAATAAGTACTAGTAATTTACATTAGCAATATGTACCAAATTTAGCTATATATTTTCTCAACTTGTACTTAGAGGCATAAACATCTACCAAAAAAAAAAAAAAAAAAAAAAAAAAAAAAAGAAAGAAAAAGAAAAAAAGAAAAAAAGAAAAAAATAGCATTCACCCCCCCCCCCCGAATCAAATATGAAGTCTCCTCTGATAGAGGCAGTGTGACGGTCCCGAGTTCCTCCTGGTGAGGTTACCAGCACCGAGCGGATGGTCGGCAATGCCCACACCAGGCTAGTGCTGTGTTCATCTGACTCTGGCTTTATAAGCTTGCAGCATCTGCAAGAACGCTACAGCTCAATCCTCAAAAGGCTTCCATTAGACTCTCAGGAATGAAGTCCTTAAACATCAGCTGGCAGGTTATTGGGGACAAACTTCTCACAGGTAAGATCAAAGGGAAATGGTGACTGCCCAGCTGTGTGTGATCTATACGATACCCGATCCTCTGAAATATTTCTTAATCTGCCTACTTCATTTTTCCTCTTAATCCTGAGACAAAGGCCAAGCCTTGTCTTTCCTGTTTTATTTATAAACAGATTTGGTTCTGGTGTAGGTTCTGTTTTGGCAGGTGGTGGGGATGGACTCAGGGCCCTGCAGAGGCGGGTCTGTCATTTCTCTCTGAGCTACACCCCGGCTGTGCACACATTTATCGTGACCACGAGCCCAGCAACTGCCTGTTACAGAGTAGGCTCAGGACTTGGCTTAAACTGAAAACTGAACCTGATGTGTGAAACAAGCTGCTCCTCCCACACACATGTCCCTGTCACACTGACACAATACACATCTCAGTGTTCATGACCCCCGGCTAACGAGAAGGAAAATGTGGAGGATCGCAATAACCATATGGTCCTAAAATGAAATGGAGAAAATGTTACACATGCCATTTTTACAGTAATTTAAGACATATAAGACATTAAAATATGTAACATGACAGTAGAAAGTACAAAAGATCTGGAACAAACTTCTATTAAAATGAAAAAGAAAAAATTACCTCGCTTTTTGCGAATGTTAAACATGGAAAGATATCTTCCTGATAGATTTTGTCTAAGAAAGGACATGTTCTATCCATCGTGGGCTCATCCTTCCAAGATCTGAATTCATTGTACAGAGATAAATCGGCCTAACAAACAGAACAGACACAAAGCAACTTTAAAAGAATAAATATGAACCACTTGATAGAACCAAGCCCTAATTTACACATTATTAAAAGGAAATGTCCTTCATTTCAAATAATAACAATTCAACTGTCCTGTAATACATGATAGCAAGTTTTCTTTAAAAAGAAAAAAAAGATTAACTGAGTCTCTTGAGTCTCTGGGTGTCTGGGTGTGTCCCCTATGATGTTCAAAGATGCTGCCATCATCTGCACCTCTTCGGAGACAGGGCCTCACTCATACCCAGCTCTCTGGGACTCACTGTCAGCAGGCTGGCCCTGAGCAGGCTCCTGCCTCTGCCTGACCACCATGCCCAGCAACACTAGAGCTCTCTGGGGACAAGGACTGTCCTGAATATAAAAGGTGCTACTGAGCAGTCTGCTTTAAAATTATCAATCCGGATATCTGTTACTTGAAAAAATCTAATCCAGCCTGTGCCGGAGTGTGGGATGACAGTCCTAACAGGATGCTAAAACAGCCATTAGTACAAGCGACGGGCAATGAGCAACAGCACGCTCAGTTGCTACACTGACCATGGGAACCACCGTGAATTAGCCGTAAGAAGCGAGCCACACCTCCCCTTGGCCCTCCTCGTTCCCCTGACTAAGTCCTCTTCTCTACAGACCCTCAGCCTACCTAGCCCACCCCAGGCCACCTGCTGATAGAAAGCAGCACCTACACACGCACGGGCGCAGAGCGGCCCCTGAGCTCCGGGCCACACCCGCAGCCAGAGGTGCAGCCCCATCAAAGGCACCGAAGGCTGAGGGCACCACTGTCTCCTACGGGCTTTAAGAGGTCAGTAATGGCAATCACATTGTGATTATTTTTCATTCGATTCATAAATGTCCTGAGTCAATGTTAAAGGCAAGAGGATAAAGTCTGTTAAGAGATAAATAGTTAAGATTTCCAAATTCACTCATGAAGTTAATGGAGAAAATGGAAATAAGGCCCGAAGCAGGAAAGTGAATAATAATCAAAGGAAAGATTGCTTAAAGGCAACACTGGAACCATTTCCTGACAGCTGACTCTTTCAGAAACCATGGTCCCTTAAGCACTTTCTAAACACTTAATCCTCTAAGTTGTGCAAGGAGAGATGATGGGCGAGGACTTACAGAGAAAAGCAGCTTCCCAAACCACAATTGAGGAAAAGCCTCAAGCCCAAGGGGCATTTTCTTATCATGACTGGTGGGGGAAGGCCCAGCTCTCTGTGGGCGGCGCCATTCCTGGGCTGCTGGTCCTGGGTTCAATAGTTAAAGCAGACCGAGCCAGGGGAAGAAGACAGTGAGCAGCAGCCCCGCATGGCCTCCGCATCAGCTCCCGCTCCAGAATCCTGCTCTGTGTAACTCTGACCCTGGCTTCCTTCAGATGATGAAAGATGACGTGAAATCCTTTGGGTCAAAGCATTTCATCGCAGCGCTAGCATCCTTGACTAAGACACACAGTTAAGTATAATGTAGACCCAAAGCCTGCACTGTGTGTGTACGGCTGCACACGTGTGCTAAAGCTTTCAGAGCTCCCTTCTATGACTGAGAGCCTCACCACGCTGTCCAGAAGAACAGGCGACTGCTGGGAAGTGTCCTACAACAGTGGTTTTCAACCTTCCTAATGCTGTGACCCCCAACCCTAACCTCACCCTCATTGCTACTTGCTAACTGTAACTCTGCTATGGTTATGAATCATAAGGTAAACATCTGTCTTTTCTGATGCTCTTAGGCGACCCCTGTCAAAGGGTCATTCGACCCCAGAGGGGTCGCGACCCACAAGGTTGAGAACATTGTCCTAGGGTATACTTCAGCCAAATCTGGATTTCTTTTGTGTGATAAAATTTCCTGATATTTCCACAAAGCACCAGGATATAAAGTATCAAAAGTGGATGTGTGCAACCTATTCATATGCATTTCAAAACTAGAAAAGCTTTAAAAATGGTGAGAAACCATCCAAACTGTTTTATTATAGGCAACAGGAGAAAAACCATTACACTTACTAAGTGAAAACTACAATTTTTTTTTAAGTACACTTATTTAAAATCAAAGAAGAAATGAGAATTAAAGCAACTAAAGGAGTGTGTTAGACATTTAACAGAAACAAATATGGATTTCAGATTTTGCTATATTCAGAATTGGACAAGAACTAAACTGTTCTGGTTACCATATTCTTACTAATAGCTGAGCAAAGGTAACTCAGTTACAATAGTTTGCCTTGGTAATTCAATTAGTAATTCCTGGCTTCTAGACACAGGTTAAATGAATAAACACCAATGGCTTCTCAAACATGAATTAGCTTAAACTCAATGATGGATGTAGCTTTCAAGAAAACCAGCGATACTCCCAGAATTCTTGATCAATCCCTTTAGAAACGGTTTAATAATTATCTAATCTTTATTCTGCACATCCCAAAATACACAGTATCTACGTTATCTTTATGTTTTCTAAAATGTAAGGCTTCTAGTACTTCTGGGTTCTGTTTGTTCTCTTCCTCAATTGTCTGAATCAACTCTGGACTTCCGTAGCAATGTAAAATTCTGCTTCTCAGATCTTGAAGAGCATCACCCCACTTCCCCACTTCCCGTGCTGCTATTTTAACACTGCACCAACGGAGCACCCCGGCTAGTGAGGATGCTGAGGCCCCCCTTTCCTCTACACAACACATGCCAGTTTGCTCCCCTAGTGAAACTCTGAGGTGCAGAGACACAGCAGGTCTGCAGCGGCAAGTCCAAGGCCAGCCAGCAGAGAACAGGGGGAAAGGGTCCCTGAAAGCAGCCAGCTCTAGACAAAGCCTCCCCCATCTTAATATTGCATATTTTATACTAAAGGAAGGAAGGAAGGAAGGAAGGAAGGAAGGAAGGAAGGAAGGGAAAGAAAGAATCCCGACAGACACCTCCGCGATGGAAATGAGCGACAGTCACCTCTTTACAGTCTTTGGCCAGGGGCTGTATCACACTGAGGTCCTGGTGGCTGCCACCCATGGCACTGCTGGTACTTTTATTCCTCGTGTGCCCCCTTTTAAAAGGCGTCTTTGCAGCCACCAGCGGCTCCTGCGTCGGTGACGTGGGCGAGCTGGACAACACGAGTGACTTCAGGGCGGCCACTTCAGCTTGGAGAACGTCAATCTTGAAAAGAGATCAGCACCGACCGTCACACACACACACACACACACACCACACACACACACACACACACACACACTCACACACACACACACACCACACACACACACACACACACACACACACACACACACAAGCTCTGACACATGTGGCCGAGCGTTAGCAGTTCGGCCAGGACACTCTCAAGGGCAGAAAATAAGATTAAGTTGTATGTTCTGGGGACTAATGCAAAGAAAGTAATCCAAGTTTTTGGGTTTCCAGATGGCTTGGATTCCAAAAGAAAACATTTAAATGGTCAAAATTACCTAACATTAATGTGGATTCTCAAAATCACTACGATACATTAACTTACGATTAGCTGTAGTTCAGTCTTAAATAATAAAATCTATTTAGGTGCTTGATTTTTTTTTTTAAGCAAACTAAGAAAAGAAGTATAACTTTTCACTGTGACTACTGAACCCTTTTGTGTGACTTACACGGTTTTAAGTGAGCTGGATGGTACGCGAATGCACCGGTGCCCGGTGTCCCTAGCTTTAGGTGACTTACACGGTTTTAAGTGAGCTGGATGGTACGCGAATGCACCGGTGCCCGGTGTCCCTAGCTCCTGTATGCGCCTACTTCCTCCCTCGTGGCTTTTGTGCATGTAAACTCAGCACTGCCTCTCTGCAGAACAGCCCCGATGGCGGCCAAGGCGCCCTGGAGACAGCGATGACTGACATCTTCCTGCCCACAACTGGAGCCATGAGACTTACTTTCCCTTGAGCTTCCTTCAGCTGCTTCTCCGCTGTGGCCTGCTTGACGTTTGCTTCTCTCACCATCCTGTGGGCTTCCTGGAAAAGGCGACATCTCAAATTTTGTAGACAAGTATTTTAGCATTCATTTTCAAAGCACATTTAAGCTGCTGCCTAAGACAAAGACCCCCTGCCAAGTTCGACCGTGGAACTAAGCATTCCGTGCTCTATGGGAAAGCAGCTGATATTAAAAGGGCAGGAGGGAAGGACCAGGCATTCTCCACTTAGCACCCATCAGCCACTGAGGCAGCCGCGGTGGGTCCAACCAATCCAGCGGTGTCTGTCACGCGATCGTGATACGTATACATATTGTTAGTCACAGAAAAAAATACACGAAACGGACAAGTAAGAACTGTTAACACCTCAACAGGAAGGTTAACCGAGGAGTTTCAGTTGCCAAGAGAGTGAAAACTGTATTGTACAGCGTGACCTGCAAGGGAAATCTGAGTACTCGTTAGTGGCCTTCACTTTCTAATGAAACAGACGTGAAGCCGTAGGAAACTCCAGGGTTCCTGCCTTTTAGTCACAAATATTCACTCATGCCATCTCTTTATGCGGTGCTGTTCCAGGCTGACAATGAACGGGGTAAAGGCCCTGCTCCTAAAGAGTACATGAACATTCTGAGGGAGACAGACTTGATTCTAAATGAAAGATGAAGTCTCTTTTTAAGGAAGAGAATAACATGATCTCGTATTTTAAAGGTTATGCTTTTGTGCAAAATAATCAGTCTAAGAGATTAAAGTGAATCCAAACAGCACGGGATTTGAGAGTTCACATTTCAGAGTTTTAATATATCCAAAGGAGATTAAAAGATATTTAATAAGCACACAGGGCAATGGCCGCCCTGGGCCTGCGAGCCGCCGAGTGCAGGATGGAACTCTTCCTTGGGCTGTGCCAGGGCACCCAGCTGCTCAGCTGCTCTTATGGCATGGGACTGGAGACAGCAGCTTCTGTGTCTCATGACCGTGAACCCCAGACAGCAATAAATAATCAAATGATCATTATTCGTGATTTATAATGAAATGAGATGAACCACGGACATACTTCATGCACCATTTTTCTGCTTATCTGGCAAAGTCCTTAAGAACAGTCAGATGTCGTGAGCCCAGCAGCTCCCTTTGGGAAACGACAGTTGTTGCAGAGTCACTGAATTTTACTGGGACAAGGAGGGGCTGTCAAAAGAAGACTATCTGACAGATATTTCCAAAATAATGAACCTGTCTATTCCAACCTCTCCTAACTTAACTCTACATACAGAAGACACTAATGATAAGCAGAGCACCTGCTGAACTGGCTGGCAATGGACTCTTAATGTCAACTCTACAATCGGAATCACACTTCTTGGAGTTGACACTTCTAAAATGTATCTTTGGAAGCATCAGAGAGATGAGCAAACGGTGAACAACCGGAACCAAGGCCAGGAGAAAACCCAAAGATTCCAGTTGCAAGAGGGGCACCATGAAAGACACACAGGTGTCCCCAAAGAGGAGGGTGCTGGCCTGCGGCAAAACCATCTGAAAAGATACCGCATTTGGCACAAGTCTGCCAATCACCCAAATGTCAGGATGTAGAATATCTAGACGGTTTTCCTTTACTTCTTTCTGAGGTGAGATGTAGGCACTATATACACCAGGCTTTTCGAATGCTCTACTAGAGATGTCAGACTGTCCATTTTACAATAGTGAGAGTACCACTTCTAATACAAAAGGCATTAGTATGTTTAGGACCATTTCAGAGACTGCTAGAAATTAATTTTTAAATACGTAACTTTCATTGACGTTTCCTCCTTTGACAATTTAGTACATGTATGCAATGCATTCTGGGTACTTTGCTCCCATCTGTCGTCTCTCCCTCCTACCCGACAACCTTCCCATTTACAAGTGCCTTCTCACACTCAGCCCTTGCGCTCCGACTTTTGGCTCCCAGTGTCAGTTTGTGACCATGTTTTGAACTGTCCATTCTGTCCAGGTGGGCACACCATATACAAGCCATCAGGGCCCACAGTTCATCAGGGTGGCGTATGGTCCCGTGAGCCCTCCCCGTCTGTGCTTAACTGGTGTCAGCCCTACTGTGTGCAGGCTGTGTGCAGATTGGGCAGACGCTCTGGACACAGAGTTTTCACAGTTCTCCGCATCTTCTGGCTCTTAGATTTTTTTTTTTCAATGTCTCTTTTTTGGGGGGGATTTCTTTCTTATTATTTAGTAGCTCATTCCCCCTTTCCCCTACCCCTCCATTTCTCTTCAGATACAGATAGTCCTCCCATGGATATCAGCCAGCCATAGCTGGGAAATCAGGCATCTCCTCTTCTATTAAGACTGGACAAGGCAATCCGGTCAAAGCAGGCAACACAGTCATTGACAGCCCTTGTTACCACTGCCAGGAGCCCCACAAGACCAACCTACACACAACTGTAACATACATGCAGGGCTGGTTCAGTTCCATGCAGGCTCCCTGGCTGTCGGTTGAGTCTCTGTGATCCCTATGAGCCCAGGTTAGTTGGTTCTACGGGTTTTCTTGTGATGCCCTAGACTGCATCAGAGTCCGCCCGATGTCTGCTGTGGGTCCCTATATCTGTTTCCACCACCAACCTCTCCTTTTAATGGGTTTTTTCCCCTTTTAAATAAAACTCAAACTAACACTTTGAACAGCAATTTCCCTTTTTTTACAAATTCTTTGTCATATTTACTAATTTATCTTTGTACGTGCCATGGCATGCCTATAGAGATCAGGGAACAACTCGCACAAGTTAGCTCCCTATTTCCACCATATGGTCCCAGGGATGGAACTCGGCGGCTCAGGCTCAGCCACAGGGGCCCTTACTGCTGAGCCACCCTGCTGGCCTACAGACCACAATCTCTAACCATTCAATCCAAACACACGCGCACTTTGTTTCCTGTAACTAAGCCCATGTGTTTCTACAGGAGCAGGAAACCATATACACTGCAGCCCCCAACGGGCCACAGGCCTGAACCGGAGCTGGGCGTTTCAGGCCACCCTCGCTGGTGGTAGAATGGACGATGCAGGGGGAGCATACGGCATGTGCAGAGCCAAGGCTGCGGTGTGGCCCTGTGACGTGACACGGGTTAGCACTGTTGCACCTTCGGGAGTGGCACTCTCTTTGCACCACAGGGGATTAAACTCTGGCCATTAGCTTGCAGAGCAGGCACTTTCACCAACAGAGCCCTATCAACCTGATGTCCCTTATTATATAGCCACACACCATGCTTCAGCTTTATTCATTCCTTGATGAGTATATGTTCCCTCACTTCTGGCTTGTGATAATACTATAGCAACAGGCACGAGAATACAAGTATCAAGAACTGTAATGCGTACGGTTTTTCCTCCCGCTGCCGGTCTGGTCCCGCCGCTGCCGCACCAGCCAATTAACACACGAGACTCTGTATTTGATATTATGCTGTTAGCCAGGTGCTAGTTTCTTATCGGCTAGCTCTGTCTTAAGAATTAACCCATTTCTATGTATTTCCACGTGGTCTTACCAGCAAGAAGCGGCTGGCGTTTCTGCCTTCTCCAGACTCTCCATCTTTACTCTTCTCCCTTACCACTTCCTCTTTCCTCCTCGTCTCCTAGTCCCTTCTATCTTCCTTTCCTATTGGCCAACAGTGCTTTATTCATTAACCAGTATGAGAAACATATACATAATGGCATCTCCCATCAAAGAATTAATTTTATTTCCTTTGATATAGATTGAAAAGTGAGATTGCTTGCTTCTAATTTCAATCTTTTTTGGGGGGGTCTGGTTATTTTTGATAGGTTTTATTGTTATTGTTTGTGAGACAAGGTCTCTCTATGCAGCCCTGGCTGTCCTGGAACTCACTATGTAGACCAGGCTGACCTCAAATGCTGAGATCTGTCTGCCTCTGCCTCCTGACTGCTGGGGTTAAAGGCATGCATCAGCACCGCCCAACTCTACTTCTAATCTTTTAAGAAGAAATCTCCATATTTTTGTCCACAATAACCATACCAGCAGTACCACATCCTTGCCTACAGGTGCTGTGCTGAATTTGGATAAGCGTGTGGAAAGACCTCACTGGGCTCTGATTTGCAACTGCCTGACTGGTGTTGCTGAACATCTTCTTATGTATCTTCTGCTTGCACATCTCTTTAGGGAAAAGTCCATTCAGCCTTTAAACTATCTTTTATTGTATTGCTCTTTTGATATTCCTAATATGTGCCCTTGGTAGACACACTTTGCAAGTGTTTTTCCATCCATCCACTGCACTTTAATTTTGGTGATGGGTGTGTACAGGTTTTAGTTAGATGCAACTCCACTCGTCCATTTTTGTTGTTTTCCTGAGCTTCTGAATCCTTAGAACCTCACATGGGACTCCGTGACCTCACATGGGATTCCGTGACCTCACACAGGACTCTGTGATCTCATACACGACTCTGTGACCTCACACGGGACTCTGTGACCTCACACAGGACTCTGTGATCTCATACACGACTCTGTGACCTCACACACAATTCTGTGACCTCACACAGGACTCTGTGACCTCACACACGACTCTGTGACCTCACACAGGACTCTGTGACCTCACACAGGACTCTGTGACCTCACACAGGACTCTGTGACCTCACACGGGACTCTGTGACCTCACACAGGATTCTGTGACCCCACACGGGACTCTGTGACCTCACACAGGACTCTGTGACCTCACACATGACTCTGTGACCTCACACACGACTTTGTGACCTCACACACGACTCTGTGACCTCACACGGGACTCTGTGACCTCACACATGACTCCGTGACCTCATTCGGGACCCTGTGACCTCACACATGACTCTGACCTCACACAGGACCCTGTGACCTCACATGGGACTCTGTGACCTCACACATGACTCTGACCTCACACAGGACTCTTTGTGACCTCACACAGGACTCCGTGACCTCACACGGGACCCTGTGACCTCACACAGGATTCTGACCTCACACAGGACTCTGTGACCTCACACGGGACCCTGTGACCTCACACAGGATTCTGACCTCACACAGGACTCTGTGACCTCACACAAGACTCCGTGACCTCACTCGGGACCCTGTGACCTCACACGGGACTCTGTGACCTCACTCGGGACTCTGACCTCACACGGGACTCTGACCTCACACACAACTCTGTGACCTCACTCGGGACCCTGTGACCTCACACGGGACTCTGACCTCACTCAGGACCCTGTGACCTCACACGGGACTCTGTGACCTCACACAGGACTCTGACCTCACACAGTACACTTATCACTTCATAAGAACTCTAAGAAATCTGCAGTACATCTCTCCTTTCAACTATTTTTTAAAACTTTCTCTCTCTTTTTTTTCTCAGTCTAGTAAAGGTGTGGTTATTTCTTAAAAGAAAGAAAAAAGCCAAAAAACAAGTCTTGGGCTTCTTGATATTTTCCCCTTGTTTCTGTACCTACTACACTCCCTTACTTCCTTCCTCTTGCTAGCTTGGTACTTGGGTTGTTTTTCCTCCGGTTCCCTGAGGCCTGACACTAAGTAGAGTGTCTTCTTGTATTCTGTAAGCATTTACTGCCATGACTGCAATTTTCTTAGCATTGCTTTTGCGGCATCTCATAAGCTTTTAATATGCTATATTTTCAATGTCTCAAGTTTTTCAAGTTCCTCTTTAATTCCCTCTTTAGCTCACAGTTCAGTGTTTCCATTTCCACACACTTAACGTAATTTTGCTGTTCTATTGTTGATTTCTAACTAGATGTCACTATGGCTGCAAAAGAAGAATACGGATTGCTTCCTCGTGTGGACAGTTCCGTGTGTGTCCACAGGTGTATCTGGTGCACTGCCACCCGTCCAACTGCTTCTGTATCTGACTGCCATCTGAACGATGTGTCCATTCCACACAGAGGTATTAGCATCTCCTGCAATTACTGTACTGTTTTTCTCCCTTCAGCTCTGACACTGCGTGCTTTGAACATGCAGATGCTTTGTTGTTGGGTACATATTTAATTGTATCGTCCAATCAAACTGATCCTTTGTCATTATGTATCCATCCTGTCTCTTGATGACAGTGTTGATCGAAACTCTATTATGTGCATACAACACCTCCTGTTCTCCTTAGCAGTTGCACAGAAATCTCTCTCTGCCCATTCACCTTCAGGCTGTGTGTTTCTACACGTATACTGTGACTGGAGGATGTGTTCACACTGAATCAATTACTGTAAGGCAGGGGCTTACTCTCCACACGTGGTCCATCTGTGCTCTGTCCTCTGTGGCTTCCTTGTTCCTCCTTGGTCTTGTCCGCTTTCGCGGCTCGCGGCTCTCTGGTGGTGTGGGGTGTGCGTTGGTACACTTGATTCCTTTCTCTCTTTCGTGTATCTAATGTGCTTTTTATTTTGGTTATCAGAACGCAAACTAAAGAGTTCCCCACTCTAATGCCGTTTTCAGCTAAGTAACACACAGACAGTTTGAGATGTGCCCCCACCCCACTCTGCCCCTTAGACGTGCTGGACCTCACGTCTTTACTGTGTTTCCACTGACAAATTTCTGTGGTTTGGCTACTTCCAATACTTGCTTTCCAACTTATGCAGTAGTATTCATTTTTTTCATATTATTTACATGTGTGAGAGTTTTAAACTTTTTTCTCCACTTAAAGCCATAAACTCTATTTTTTAGGTCACAGGAGACAAAAATCAACAGAATGCAATTTGCTCACTTGTGACCTTTGCTCTTACACACGTGTACACACTCACAAACTCAGAGAATAAAATCACTTTTCTTTCCCAGTTAGAATTTGAACAAACCAATTTCAGGTTTCATTTTGCAATGTGAATGGATCACAGGACGCCTTAATTAAGTATTATCAAACATTATCCCTAGTATTTCTGTAATGGTGTTTGGGACAAGATTAACAAACTGATACACTTAATAAGGCAGACTGCACTCTACAGGGACAATCGCACAGAGGAAGGCCTCAGCAGAATAAAGGCTTACCTTCTCACCGGGTAGGAGAGCCTGTTCTCCTTTCCAACCCTGACTCATGGTCCTTTCCAGTTCTGGGGCCTGCTAACCCACATTACAGCCCTCAGACACAGCAGGCTCCACAGGCAATAGCCAGTTCTTTACAACAATGAGTGTCTGAGTGTCTGAGTGTCTGTCTGTCTGTCTCACAAGTGCATCTGTCTTTCTGGGCCAATGACTGTGATCAAAAGTCAAAGCAGAGCTGGGCAGAAATCTTGGTCCTGACCGCAAGCTAGAAATGAAGAGGTGTACCTCCTAATGTCCCTCAAACCACCCTGCAGCAATGGCTGCACCTCAAGGGCCTGCAAGCATAAAAGACAATTTAAAAAAAAAAAAAGTAGCCCCTAAATAACTGTAAAATGTAAAACTAAAGTTACTAACCCTTCCTTTCACACACATATGTTTAAACCACCAGATACTGATAACCTAAGGAATTCTATTTTCCTCTGTACACTATTTTAAGTTAGACTACATTTCCTTACTATAATTAATGTTCTCTTTCTTGCTTAGAGGGATTATGAATACTCGTGAAGCTAGCCATTACCCTTCTCAAGATTCCCTCACAAACCAATTCTATCAACATATAAAATTGCGATGTTGCTCTTGGCCACGAACAAACCAACCTCAAATAAACTAGCTGTGAGTTCTTCCAGCTCCTGCCCAAGTTGATCTCGCACTTTCGAGAGTCTCTCACATTCTTCATCTTTTAACTTCAATTCCTATGAGAAATTGATAATTTTGTTTTAGATCTCTTCAACCTGAAACAAGATTGTATTGACTACATAACAGTTATTAGTAAAATTATAAAATATTAACACCACCACCGACATGTTCATATTGAATGCCTAGTACCTGCTAGATACAAGACAGCCAGACAACTACAATTACATCTAATTCCAACATGTTGCATTAGATTTCTTCCATAAAATATCCAGAGATTAAATATGAATAACACATAAAAAACACTATTTCCCCTTTAGCTTTTCTCTGAACATGATTATTTCTCCCAAGCATGTACTTCTTTCTAATTTTGCTTACTAATGACTATAAAATTATTTTTTAATGTTTATTCAGAGTAGATAGATGGCTCGGTCAGTAAAGCCCCTGACACAAACGCACAAAGACCCAGACCCATATGCAAAAGCCAAGCACAGCAGGCACATCTGTAACCCAGCACCAAGGAGACAGAGGTGGACAGACCCCTGAGCTCACTGGCACAGCAGGCACATCTGTAACCCAGCACCAAGGAGACAGAGGTGGACAGACCCCTGAGCTCACCTGTGGCAGAAGGGGTGAGCAAGGAGCCTCTCCCAGCACAGCCTCACACTAAGGGAAAACCTGTTTTTGGAAAGCCATCAATACACTGCAGGCAGGCTGAGAGAAAGCTCCCATGCAAAATCTGATCTCCAGTGGAATGCTGAGAGGCTGAGACCCCCCCAGAAACACTGCCCTAGAGGAAACCTGCTGGACAAGGTATGGCTCTGGAGGATGTTAAGTGATGACAAACACACACCAATCCCAAGGAAGGCACACTGGCTATCCTGCTCCTACACTGGAACCTCCTAATACTCCTTAGAAACTCAAGTCATGTGCACATGAGAAGCAAAAATGGTTGGAAAGTTACAGTTAAACAGGCGTCTGGTATGCTATTGTACAGCAGGGTGACTATAAATAATAATATGCTGACCACTTCAAATCTGTAACAAAGGACTTCAAGAACTTTGTCAATGGAAAATTTTGTAGAGCTACATATATGCTTAACATGATTTAAACATGATACAACATACACACATATTGATACATATTACATATAATGTATATATTAATGTATATGATTTATATGTTTTTTGTCTGTTAAAAACTTTTTAAAAAGTCAAATTACCTGTAAGGAAGAAAAAAAATGAGATACGTCTAAAACTTCAACAGCAATATTTTATGCTACCAAACAAGGAAGTACTGTTTTTAAAAGAAATCCTAGACTACAAATTGAGTGTTTTATAGTTAGCCGAACTATCTTTCATGAGGCCACGAAGTAACACATCTGTAAGATGTCAGGAAATGTCTGCCCCGTGAACCTGCTTGAAAAGGAAACTGTGGACACAAAAGACTGACCATCCCCAAGGGGGAACCTGGGAGGCTGGGCTGGGTGAGCAGATGAAGTATTAGGACATAAGGGCCGCCATGCTACACAACAAAAGCAAGCTATTAACAAGGTTCAAACTCCAACAAAGTCTGAAATATGTTAGATACCACAGAAGGAGCAGCACTGGAAACTAGGAGAGACTATCCACAATCAAACACAAATGGAGGTAAAAGACTGAAACAGGAAAAGGAATAGAGGCCCACACTCTAATGTACATACGTACAGGTTGAAGAAAGTGCAGGCAAGAAATGAAAGATTTTTGAAACAGAAGCCAAATGTCCAAAATTTTATGAAAATCAGAAACCCAGTGTCAAGAGCACACCACACTCTCTATAAGTGTGCACATGCACACTTACACGCATACACACGTACACACAGACACCAACCACACAGCCCTGACGAAAACTACACCACCCGGGAAAAGAAGTGCTCACGGCAGCAAGAAAGCAAAGACATCACACACAGCGGCTTCCTGTGTGCCGGAAGACAACGAAGCGAAGCCTTTCCCTACTGAGGGAGAGAACGCATGAATCGGCCTCCGCGTCCGTACCCAAAACTAAAGTAAAAGGGACCTCACATCACAAGCGGATGGGAAACAGGTTAAAGGTGGCCTCTCAACAGAAAGAAGAAAATGCCAGATGGAAATCTAAATACACATGAAGCAAAAGAGCAACACTGTAAACATCTGTGTATAGAGAACTGAAGATTCTTTATGTCCCTTTAAAATGATCAAATGTCTAGCACACACAAAAAGAGTATGTGCAGGAAGCATATGATAACTACTGCAAACAGCTGAACACAAAAGAGAAAATATAGTCTCTAAGATTCTTACACTGTGCACAGGCAGTATGCCACAGCAAGGTAACACAGTGACAAGTTAAAGGAGTGTACTACTAAGTCAAAACAACAACAACTAGCCAGTAAGCCAAATTATCAAAAATAATGAATTAATACAAAAGGAGGAATGTGGTAGGAGATCAAATAGAATAACAGAATACAAATACCAAGACAATAGATACTGCCAAATTTTATCAATACTGTATGAAGTGTAAATGACCAGTTAAAGGGGACATACTAGTAGGAAGGATAAAAAGCAAGACTTAAATAGGAAGGTACAGACAAAACCAGGCAGCTAAGGGTCATCAGAATACGGAGTGGCCAATGATGTAATTTTGATTCATTAGTTACCAGAATTCAGAAAATATTTTCATATTCAAGTCCTCCTCAAGATTTCGGTCCTGAGTTAATATTAAAACTATATTGTACTCATCCTAATACAATTCAGTATGTACATGGTCACACATCATGATCTTACCATACTACAGCTCTAAATGCTAAAATCTGAAGGGATTCAAAAGGGATTCTCAATGGAGCTGGGAGATCAGCATGCATGTGCACACAAAATGTAAATAAATGGGGAAAAAATGAGAAAGCCATGGTATAGACGGCGGGAAACATGACAGGACTATGTCATGGTATAAAAGAAACAGTGCTTGACATCTTTCTCAAGTTTTAAAACACAAAATGGGATTTTACTTTTCGTCCCTAAATTATACTTTTGCTGTCTGTGTGATCAGGGGTAATAACTGTTTTACTCTTAATATCGATAATCGGTTGTCTTTTTTTTTTTTTAATCTTTTTTTGCCAGAGTTTTGTCGATTTTACTGCTGTGTTAAAGAATCCATGTTTTATTTGTTCCCTGCTTCTCTTATTAATTGCAGTGACTTCTGCTCTCCGTGCTCTGACTGCACCGCTGTTTTTCAGCTGATAAAATAAGAACTTCTCCTGGGCCAGAGGGAACCCGGAACAGTGCTTGCTGCCTGGTCACGAAGAACAAGGGTCAGATCCCAGCTCCCATGAGACAAGTCTAGCATGCTGCTATACACTTCTCTCGGCAACTGTATTTCAGTCTGGGGGTGGCAGAGGATAAGAGCTGGCCATAGATTAGAAGGCGACTAGGAACCTATCAAGGAAAGGACATTCCCCAATGTAAAATACTGACAATGTTCACAATCAGCAGAAGAAAGGTGACGGCACTTAAACAATTCCCCCAAGAAGAAAGAACTGGACCGGAGGGCTTCGTGAGCGACTACCAACCCAGCCACATAAGGAGACAGTTCAGGTGAGATACGGTCCATCAGGCTGTGTTAGAGATGCCGCTGGGACAGGCCCCCCTCTCTAGTGCCTATCCGGGAGGGCGATTCTGCGCACTCTCGGATGCTGGGAGTTTAAGTGAAGGAGAAACACACGCTCTAAGAAAGCAGCCATTCTCAACGTGGCTTTCTTACCCTCTGGGCTTTTGCAAGTTCTTCTTTCAGCCTTTCGTAGCCCTTTTCTCTAACTTCCAGGACAGATGGGCTCCGTAAACGGGACAAGCTATCCGTACTCAACCCAAAGATGTCGTCACTGCCAGCAGGGGCCTCTGGGACAGTGGCGCCCTGCAAAAACTCCCTCTCCGCATTGCAGCTGTCCTTCCTTGGTGTTAGCTTCGTGAGTCCCACGGCCACTCTAGAGGTAACAGCTGCTGCCGTGTCCGGAACATGAACGCTGTGAGGAGAGGAAGCCCAGAGGGTAGGCCACAAATCTTCCAAAGAACTAGCCAACCTACATTTGACTAACGCCAGGTCCTCGTGCGAGCTACGCTTCAAGTGCTCGACAGCCCACGTGGGTAACGGCTATCACTCGCAGTACACACCACAGTAATACTTTCATCATCCCAAAGGGCTGCTGAGTGCTGTTCTCCAGGGCAGGGGTCACACAGGGCATCTGAAGCCTAAATCAAGTCTCCCCTGCTGTCCTAAGGCCCACAAGCCAGCAATGGATAACAAGGAATCAGGGACACTGTATGACCCGTAAACACTGTATGAAATTTCTGTGGCCACAAGTTCTTATTGCAACAGTCAGAGTTATTCATACTACCTGTGGCCGCTTTCACACTGTAAAAAGGACTGATGAGTTTGGTATAAACCCTGTATGGCCTGGGCTGCAGAGATGGCCCAGTGGTTAAGAGCACTGGCTGTTTTTTACAGAGGACACAGATTTGAATCTCAGCAAAGACACGATGCAGCCACTGAAACTCAGCTCCAGGGGCTCTGACGCCCTCTACCTGCCTCCACAGGTACCTCACATATGAGGGACACAGATACATGTGCAAGCAAAACATCTACATACAAAAAAATAAAAACAAAATCTTAAAAAAAGAAAGAAAGAAAGAAAGAAAGAAAGAAAGAAAGAAAGAAAGAAAGAAAGAAGGAAGGAAGGAAGGAAGGAAGGAAGGAAACTATATAGCCTGCTACACGAAAATATTTTTTGGTCTGGACATCTGCAGAAGTTTGCTAATTCCTGGTTTAAGGATTAAAATGTATCACGCTACATGGGCATACTCATATTACTCGTATTTTCTAAAAAGGATAATTTAAGACATCCAAGCAAACTCACACCTGACATTGGGATCTCATACCTGATGTTGGGTATCTCCGCACAGTTTAAACGCCTAGGGGATGAGTACACAGGTTGTGTGGGAAGATCAGAAAGATCTAAGGCATTAGCCTGGAGAGGGGTAGAGCATAGAGACGAAGGATGTGGCCGGTAGATGACACTCGGGGAGGTCGTCTGCTCCTGGGTGCCTGAGTCACACACCCCAAGAAGGTCCGGAGAAGTAGGTGAAGCAAGGTTCACTTCATGGAAGCCTTCCAAGGGGTCATTAGCCATAGCAAAGGCTTCATCCTAGGACAGTCTAAGCTAAAGCCAAAAGAATATGATTATTTTTAGGGGTTGGTTCAAAACTAAATCAAAATGCATAAGCTGTAAAATAATCCATATAAAGTATAAGCTTACAATAAAATAGTTTAAAAAGAAAAATGAAAAAGCCTTAATATCTGCAATATTATCTCATGGTAGAAATACTGCACAGAAGGTAATCTGATTTGGAAAAGATATGAAAATATAGAAATATTGTCACAGTAGGTACAAGTAAAAGGTATGAGGAATAAAGATAAGCTTTCTCGATTTCTTAACTTTGCTATCATCTATAACCTTGGCTAGGAAAAGTAAAAGACAGCAAAGATACACGCATTTAGAACAAGCTAGCCTTAAGTTCAACTGTTCTATCCCACCTTGTACTGGGTGTGACTTTGGAAACGCCAGTGGTTTTTCTGTTGAAATCACTTAGAATTTACATAAGGCCCTCAGAGCTCCTGTGTAATAGTCCCCATTACCAGGGTGCTATTAACATTTTTGAGCTGTTTGAGGAATGTTTCAAACCACTGATGTGCACATATACACTGTATTCCAAGAACAAGGGTGTTCTCCTAGCTGACCATAAAATCATCACCAAAATCTAGTAAATGATGACAACTACCACCAACCAAATGCACAAGCCCCAATCAAACTCTGGACTTACAGGTCAGGTCCAGGATCCAGTTCCTTTCCCTAAACCCAAATGATGAGCTAGGAATGGGCCTAACCACCGCCGCCACCCCCCAGCACCTGCCCACCTCCACCTCCTAGCTGCCATGAGCACTGAAGACAGTCCCTAAGATCACTCAGGAACACTGTACCGCTGATAACATTTACTTCACAGCCACTATGACAAGTGTTCTTCAGTTTCTACACTAGCAAAAAAATACTTTATGTAGTATTTTACAGATGATTTTACACAACTTATGCAAAAAATAAGACCTGTCTCTCTCGAGTTGCTCTCTTAATTGTAAAACTAAGAATCTTGTACATCATTCATTGTTTTTTTTTTTAATCTACAGGGGAAAGTCCAAAAAGCCAGAGCCTATAAAACCCTGAACTGGCTCCTTTCCAATCTGGTCCTTCCTACAGCAGCACAGGGACAGTCGTGAGCAGTCCTTCCCGGACCTTCAACGCAAGCAGCAGCTGGGCTGTCACGGACACAGGCATACTCACTCAATCGCTAAACACCAATAAAAAGCCTTAACTTATCCAGACAGCAAAAACATTAACAGTCTCTCAAAATTACCCAGTGCTCCATGGCCATGTATGAACAACAAAAATTTTGTCAAATAAGTATAAATGCCCATCTTCAAAGTAGGTGAATTTACTAATAACAAGTTTATTAATAGCAAATGGTACTTTCGGTCCTCGAAGCTCAACTAATTTAATGTAAAACACTTACTGTGCCAAATGCAAGCTCAGATAGTACTTTGTAAATTGTTTTTTTTTTTCCCCATCTAAAAGAACCATTTTCATCTTTTACATAATTCACAAACAAATATGGAGCCAGGAAGTTTATGCTAAAAGTATATATATTCCATTTCCATATAGCTTACTAATTAATTCATGCTAAGGTAAAGAAATAAACACCTTTGAAATGTGTTTACAGTAAACCGACTTTCAAAAAGAAAATGGGACGATCCCGTGTGCAGGGAGTCACGCCTTCTCCTATCTCCTCACACCCTCTCTCCTCTTGTTCATGCTTTTCTTTCCCCGCCCAGCGCCCGCCCACCCCAGGTCCTTATATTATCTGTGCAGGCCTTGCGCGGGGAGCACATGCACAGAGTACCGCCTGGAGTCCCTCCATCCTCCGGCTCTCATACTCTCCTACCCCTCTTGGGCATGTCCCCTGGGCCGGGCAGGGGCAGGTGCATGACTCGGCAGTCACTCATCCTGACTGTTCTGGCTGCTTAGGATTCTCTGTATTAACTACTGCCCCCCGCAGAAAAGAAATTTCTCTGACCCATACTGGTAGCAGTACGAGCAATAACACACATACATAAAAGGCAGTTAGGCTGCTTGTCCACTTGGTAAAACATCAGGAGTACATTCTGTGCTGGGGCCTGTGACGTCTCCAGCCATAGGTTTATGATCAGGGTTACTGTATCCACCATGGAACAACTCTCAAATCCAATCAGGAAGCAGCTGGTTAATCCCATGCTCTTGCCATGTTCTCGCTTTGCAGGTCAGGGCTGCAGCATGCAGGAGCCACAGCTGGCTTAGGGCACTGACAATTTCTCTCCCTTCAGGACCTCACAGAACCTTCAGGTACCATGAACACTTGGCAGCAGAAGGAAGCTTGCAGCTCAGTGTCCGCCTGCTTCCTCTGTCTGCCTGTTCCATCCAGAACGTGGTGGCTCCTTCAGCAAAGGGTACCCACCATCTAGGTCTGGGTTAGCAAGAGCATGAGCAGGAGCCTGTCTTTAAATTGACGTTTTTATGAGTACCCATGGCCCTTCCCTCTTTCCCTCGTATAGAAAAGTCAAACGTGTAGTAGACCGCACTGAATTACAGAGCACAACAGCATTTTCATTTCTAGAAGTCTCCCGGAAGGAAACGAGGCAATACCTAGCAAAGTGGCAGGTCCGTGACGAATGTGACCCAGCATGCTCGTAGTGAAGGGTTCAGCCCAAGGATAAACAGGCAAACTGGAAAGACAAAGAAGACAAACATCAACTGTAACAGCAAGACTATAAGTTGCGGTGCAGCCTCTTAACGAAGTGTGTATATAAAAGAGGGTTAGCGTCTGCACACATTGCTGAGTGACCGTGATATGCTGACGAATTTAATAGCAGGGAAAACAGCTGTGAATAGCAAGCTACTTTTTAAATCTTTTACCATGGCACACACGTGAAGGACGGGTGGGCGTGGGGCACACACGTGAAGGATGGGTAGGTACCAGGTACACACGTATGAAGGACGGGTAGATACCGGCACACACGTATAAAGGACAGGTAGGTGCTGGGTACACACGTATGAAGGACGGGTAGGTACCGGGCACACACGTATGAAGGACAGGTGGGTACCGGGTACACACGTATGAAGGACGGGTGGGTACCGGGTACACACGTATGAAGGACAGGTAGGTGCCAGGTACATACGTATGAAGGACGGTTAGGTACCGGGTACACACGTATGAAGGATGGGTAGGTACCGGCACACAGGTGAGTCTCCATTTATAAAAAGTGTGGCCGGAACTACAGTTTAGACGTAAACAAAGGTTATGTGTCATTGTAGTGCCTGAACAGGAATGCTGAGGCTCTCAGCTTTTATACATTTGATTGCTATTATTACTGTGTAGGCATGAGAACGTCACCGAGCTGGTGTGGGGCAAGTCAAGACCAAGCCACGCTACATAGGTCCAGGCTGACCCAGGCGATGCAGTGAGACCCTGCCTCAAAACACCAAAAAAGGGTTACAAGCGCATTTCCCTCTGTTCCGTTTATTATCTGCAGACTACTGAATGCTGTGCTGAGGGCTGAGGACAGGCCCATTCCCCACACACCTTTTTTCTTTCCTTATTTTACACAGCTCTCACTAGGTAGCACTGGCTGATTTAGAACTTTCCATGTAGACCAGGCTAGCCCCAAACCCAAGGAGCCTCTGCTTCTTGAATGCCGGAATTAAATGAACACGCCACCAACCTGGCCAGATTTTTTTTTTTTTTTTTTTAATTCTCAGATGACTTTCAAAATTTAGCATGGATTTCTAAAGAATGGCCCCGACATTACACGTTAAATTGCTACTGCAATGGTATAACATGGCTCACTTCACTAAACACCCCTGTCACGCCCAGCATGGTCACCAGTTTCAGCTCGTCAGGGTGCCGCTGACGTCTAAGAACACAGTGATGGACAGACTGAATGGACAACATTTGGTCCCTGAGAGCCAGAGATGACCCCGCAGGCACAGGGATGGAGGGGGAGGGTACCCTAAGGAGAGTAAAGTATAGCTTACATGGCAAATGCTAGGGAGGCGTCCACTGGATTGACATGGCAGGGAAATAAGATAGGACGCTCGGGGAATAAGGGTCAGATGCTAAGGAAGCTAGCGACAGAAAATCAAGCCAGGAAGGCAGCTGAGGGACAGACCATTAGACGCTTCGTTTAACATGAAAATGCTGCTTGGCGTTTATCCTGAAGAGTCAGACCTTCATCTTGAGAAACTTTGCCAAACTATAGTGCAGTCATTAAAAAAAGGGACTCCAAGGTAGTTATGGCTTTAAGCAGAGGCAACTGGTTAAGTGGTTACCACAAAGGGCCGCATAGACTATAAAGGTCAGACCAACACTGAGGTCACACCCTGGGGACACCCAAAGCAGGGGTAAGCTTTATTTTCATCTGCACACACAACCCAGCTGAGCACCCACACAAACTAGCTGAGCACCCACACAAACTAGCTGAGCACACACACAACCTAGCTGAGCATCCTCTAAAACGGCCCCATCCTTACGTCACAGAACAGACCCAGACAGTCCACAAGTAAGACGATGCAAGCCTGCCTCGTCTGATGCCGACACCTGACCCCCACTTCATTAAAGGTGCAGTTACAGGACAGACCTGACCTGAAGATGGGCAGCAGGCGGGGGCAGCTGGAAAGACAAAGCAGTCACGTCTACCCTGAGATGGGAGCATCCACACAGAAAGACGTTAGCCTCTCAGCTCCTCTGGCTCTGCCCTTCCTCAAACAGCCGCCGAAACCAACAGCGAGTGCCGATTTCTGTGTCCCCTGTTCTCACCGGCTGCAACCCTCCTGCCCGCCTCCTTTACCTACTACTTTGTTCAGATTTTAACTTGTTAAAGTCTTTTAGAGAGCCGTGTGTGTGTGTGTGTGTGTGTGTGTGTGTCTCGTGACTGTGTGTGAGAGAGTGTGACTCTGTGTGTGTGTGTGTCTCCATCCCTGTGCATGTGGGGACCAGAGGACAATATCTCTGGCGTTGTTACTCAGGCACCATTCATCCTGCCTTGAGGAAGTGTCTCTCACTGACCTGGAGTTCACGATTATGCAGGTGGCCAAGCTCTGCCTACTTCAGCCTCCGCGACACTGGGAAACAAGCGCAGACCGAAGCTGTGGTGTTGTGAATGAGGATTGTCCCCCACAGGCTTCCGTTGGTCCGGGTACCTGCTGCTTCACTGGGCACAGAAGTTTTGGGAGCATCAGCCTAACCCTACTTCCTGCATGTTCTCTGCACTTCATGCCTGCTGTTAAAGATGGGACCTCTCAGCTGCCTGCTCTGCTGCCATGACGTCCTGCCAAGATGGCCTCCTACCTGCCGGACACACTGAGCTCTACGATGAGCTGCTTTGGCCATGCTGTTTTTATCACAGCAATGGAACACTAACTAGCCTGGCGCTGTTTCACTGGTTCTGGAGATAAAACGCAAACAAGCACTTCCCTAACTGAGCCGTCTCCTCAATTCTCCTCACAGAACTTTGAAAAAGCACAACTTGTAAATGAAAATAAACAGGAGCTTGATTTTACTAAAGCCAATGTATTCCGGTGTCTTATTCAGCCGCTAAAAATTAATGACATCTACCATTTGTGGGAACATCAGTGAGACAGGTTAGGCATGGGAAAGAAAGCCGTCCATTTTCCCAGTTAGTGTAGAAACTTAACACACTGGTCTTTGTTAACGACAAGCAACAAATCTTGCATAAGCTTCGAGCTTCCTGCTAACTTGCACCTTCTAAGCCATCTTGGTCTGTGGCTCTAGCTAACAAACCATGCTGCCAACTCTCAGGTGTCACTCTGTGTGACTACCTCTTCCCGATGTAAGAATAATCCACGCTGTCAAAGGTGTGCGAATCTCTTCCGTTCTCCCCTCAGCTCTCCTGTGAAACACTTCAGCGTTTCTACTCAGCACAACTGCAATGGCTTACCCAGTGCAATCCTTCAGCCTGAGCATCAAGCCCAAGGCTAAAGCTCTACACTGGACTGAGATAAAGGAAAGCCAGCTGTCCAGGAGCTCCAAGAACCACCTCCTCAAGCATTTGTCCAGGTCACCAGAAGGGGGCAGATGCATTGCAAATCAAAATTAGTAACTAACAAAACAGAACTGTATTCAACACCACAGAAGCCAGCGAGAAGCGAGCGAGTAGAGCGGAAGTACTTTTCCCACACTAAGTGAGGGAGGGTTACAGTAGAAATACATATCCAACACAGAAGTGTTGAGGGGCAAGGGTAGTTGAGGACAGCATTAGAGGAGGAGAAACCAGTTAACGCAGTTTTCCCAAGCCCTGATATTGACTTGGGGGAGTCACATAGATACAGTAGCAAAAATCGGTTGGCCTGGGTTTTCAAAAGAATTCTATACCTGCCAAAAAGTTTAGTTTTAAAATGTATCTTCCTGAACAATAATCTTGTAACTTTTTAACACACACCCACCTACTAGTCATTGCTGCCTCTACCTCAGCACCCAACAACTGTAACTTTCTGTTTTGATACTCAACAAAACGTATACATATATTTTCACATCCATATGTATGTATGTATGAATGAGTGTGTGTGTGTGTGTGTGTGTGTGTGTGTGTGTGTGTTTGTGTGTATCCTTTAAGTTGTTTCTATTGGGAGCTTTTGCTTTTTCTGCATCCTAGGGACTGGATTCAATTTCACGAAGGCTAAGCAACCCCCTCTACCACTGAGCTACACCTTAGCTTCCTCTAAGTTTTGAGGAACATATCATATAATACACAGGAGCAAAACATGCTCCTCCTACCTTAGACTCTAAAGCTACCTTTAACCCCCACTGACTTGCAAAGTAGATACCCAATGAATATTTCATTTGAAAACCTCTGGTGACATAAGAATTGCATATTACACACTTACAACCACCTCACAGACGCTAAATTAAAAACAATTTTTCAGCATTACAACCTACACACGAAGTGGCAGAGCAGTAATTAAGAACTGGCAATCCTTCAAACATGGACTGGTGAGACGGGCTGACTAAGAGAGCAGGCACCACATACACAGGAAGCGATGGGTTTAGTAATGGTCCCAGCCCTGACACTGAAGCTGCCCGACCTCTGATCTACCCAGCACCTAATGAGCCATGTGACCCCGGCCAAGCTACACAACTGTTCGAGTCTCAGTTTCCTCAATTATAAAAAGCAAGGGGGGTATAATTTCCTGGATGGTGAGAGAAAAATGACCTGGAGTGAGCTTGGATCAGGACTTGGCACTCAAGAACCAGGAACTTAGCAACAGTGGCAACAGCAATGTCACCGTCATCAGAACACCTGTGTCGTTTTTAATCAGACACACAAATAACAGCACCTCTCACCTGCACAACCCCCCCCCCACACACACACACCCAGGCCAAATGCAAAGTTCTTTTTTCAGAGTCTAAAGATCCACTTGAGGTCCCCACAGTTTGTTTTTGATTTTTTTTTTTTTAAATCCTGACTTTGAGATCAGCCGGTTATAAATGAGAACTAAGTACCACAGGCAAGTCATTTTTGACTCTCTGCCCTTCGGTTTCCAGGTCTGTAAAACCCGATAAAGCACCTATAACCTAAGATTGTCCTTAGGACTAACGAGCCAAGGGTAGCCGCAAACGACAGGCACCATGCCCAGTCTGCGGTCAAGCTGATATTCGTTTTCTCCCCTCCCCCACATCAGCGGAATGCCTAATTAAACCCACATCCCA